TAGATAACATGCAGAATTCTATACTCAAAAAAGTATCTCCTGAAATATTGTTTTTACACTGTTGAGGATTACATTGCGCATTGCCGAGCCAAACGCATTGCCGCATCTCTGCTGTGATAGTTTAATAACATATTGTAACTCAATTCTTGAATTCCTGTTTTTACTGTATTTGCTGTCAAATTTTATGGAAAAAAAAATTTATTGGACTTTCTTTTTTGACGTGCTACAAACAAACATATTGTAAAGTAGTTAAATAAAATCTATCTATCTATCTATCTAATAAGCTGGCATTGCATTCAAGAAAGTGGCAAACCATATACATATGTTTCGGGCTTCTGTCCCATCATCAGTATGGTGCAGCCACTTGGTTACAAACACTTGGTTACTAAAAGAAAGAAATGAATACAAATGCACAAAGCCACCAGCAGGAGCCAACCGCACATTTGTGGTTTCAATTATTAGATTTTGTGTTTACAAGAAAACTATCAAAATCACCACGGAGGCAGCTATATCTACCCGCGTGACATCCGAGTCCAAAAAATAATACAAATATGAAGACTCTACTGAAATGAATGAAAACTTTTTTATAATTACCACTAGTGGTAATTAGACAAAAGTGTTTTTATTAATTTCACTAAAGTGATCATGAATTACCACAAAATAAACAAATCACCAATCTCACATATCACAAATATGAAGGTTATTGAGTGTCTCGATATAGATACAGAAGTTAATAATCGGATATTGCACTTAAGAAAGTGACAAAAACCATCCTCAGGTGGCTATACTGCCTCCGTGGTGATTTTGATAGTTTTCTTGTAAACACAAGATATCAACTGAAACCACAAATGTGCGGATGTCTCCTGCTGGTGGCTCCGTGCATTTGTATTTCTTCAGCCAAACATAAAACTCGGTTAGTAAAAATAATCCGCTAAGTCTACAGTCCACATGGACTAGTTTGTTGCCGGTTAATTTCTATGTGCCTATTGGTTTCTTTGACCTTTGAGAGTGCCGACAACTTTAAGTGTTACCTTCGACTATACACGGCTTAGATCAGTAAGTTTATATGGGTTATGTGGTAATTCGTATAAAAGGATGAACATGCAATTTTTAGAGGTCAACGTATATGGATTTATATACCCCTACCAATGGATAGTCCCACCCATACAAAAAAGACTCCGAGAAGGGTTTTTTAATCTCCCAGAACATTCCATAGCATTCAAAACTGTTCTGAATTTTTTCACAACAACCTAATTTTCCGGGATGTTCTCGAATGTTCCAGACTACTTCCAAACATTCCAGACTGTTCCGGTGTGTTGTGGAATGCTCTTGAATACCCTCAAATATTCTGAACTTTTCGTGTATGTGGCAAGAACACCTGATGCACTACACTATGCATTCACCTCATGAACAGTCAACGATGATTATTTGGAATATCATTTCAGCCCTCTTTGGATATTAGGCAGAACTTGAGCGGCTATTATAATGCCGATGCATGTTGAAAAAAAAATCTAAAATATTGAACAATGTTCTGTCTAAAATCCACCGGAATACTTGAATGTTTCTACTATACCAGCCTTTAACTATAAATACAACACTTATATTCAGGAAATAGACGTAGTTGACATCAAGATAAAAAAATACGATCCATCACGTAATAAACAATTCTTGAGTGGCACATAGAAATACCAAACAGAATATAACTTTGTATTTACAGATGCTTCAAAATCGGATAACAAAAGGGAAACAGGGATACACATGCCTCAAATAAATTTTGCATTTTCAGCTCGGTACTAGTGATGCAGAAATAATAGCAATCTATAAAGGAATAGCAACATGTATATCTAAGTGCTCTGGGTATAATTCAGATTACAGATAATAAGGTAAACAGTGATTATATTACGCTAAATATAAAAGATTCAATAAATANACGTGTTTCGGGCTTTTGGCCCATCATCAGTATGGTGCAGCCAAGTGTAAGGATGGGCAACACTTGGTTACCAAAAGATAGAAATACAAATGCACGGAGCCACCAACAGGAGCCAACCGCACATTTGTGGTTTCAGTTGAGAGCCTTCGTGTTCACAAGAAAACTATCAAAATCACCACGGAGGCAGCTATAGCTACCTGCGTGACATCCGAGTTCAAAAAATAATACAAATATGAAGACTTTACTGAAATGAATAAAAACTTTCTTATAATTAACACTAGTGGTAATTAGACAAAAGTGTTTTTATTCATTTCATTAAAGTGATCATGAATTACCACAAAATAAACAAATCACCAATTTCACATATCACAAATATGAAGGTTATTGAGTGTCTCGATATAGATACAAAAGTTAATAATCGAACATTGCACTTAAGAAAGTGACAAAAACCATCCTCAGATGGCTATAGCTGCCTCCGTGGTGATTTTGATAGTTTTCTTGTAAACACAAGATATCAACTGATACCACAAATGTGCGGATGTCTCCTGCTGGTGGCTCCGTGCATTTGTATTTCTTTTTTAAACACATTTTAAACAGATAAAAAAAATTTTGACTTATGACAACTGCACCAATATCGAATTTCAACACTCAAATCGCGATCAATTCCTTAACTGAACACGACGGCGATAACCAAGGCCGCATTATCCCTTTCTATTCGTCACCGAAACATGACTTCAAATTTAAATTTGTGACTCTTCAGCCAAACATAAAACTCGGTTAGTAAAATTATCCGCTAAGTTTACAGTCCACATGGACTAGTTTGTTGCCGGTTAATTTATATGTGCCTATTGGTTTCTTTGGCCTTTGAGAGTGTCGACAACTTTAAGTGTTACCTTCGACTATACACGGTTTAAATCAGTAAGTTTATATGGGTTATGTGGTAGTTCGTATAAAAGGATGAACATGCAATTTTAAGAGGTCAACGTATATTGCTTTATATACCCCTACCAATGGATAGCCCCACCCATACAAAAAATACTTCGAGAAGGGTTTTTTAATCTTCCAGAACATTCCATAGCATTCAAAACTATTCTGAATTTTTTCACAACAACCTAATTTTCCGGGATGTTCTCGAATGTTCCAGACTACTTCCAAACATTCCAGACTGTTCCGGTGTGTTGTGGAATGCTCTTGAATACCCTCAAATATTCTGAACTTTTCGTGTATGTGGCAAGAACACCTGATGCACTACACTATGCATTTACCTCATGAACAGTCAACGATGATTATTTGGAATATCATTTCAGCCCTCTTTGGATATTAGGCAGAACTTGAGCGGCTATTATAATGCCGATGCATGTTGAAAAAAAAATCTAAAATATTGAACAATGTTCTGTCTAAAATCCACCGGAATACTTGAATGTTTCTACTACTTGAACAGTATGGAATTTTATAAAATTTTGATTATTTAAAACGTGTTAAAATATTATTGAAATAAGCTCTGAGTCAGCAGATGATACTTTTTGACATTGACCACAGATATAATCAGTATAAATATTCAAGAACGGCCGGCTATGAAAATAATGAGAACTGAGAAAAAATAAATGGAATAATTATTTGGGAAAGAAAGGTTCTGGCTTCCTATTTCTCCATATTTATACAAAAAATGTAGAAATCTTCTGAAGAAAGGAATGAAGTAATCGATTTTGAAAAAGTCATGTCTATACTTAGATGTGTAGATCATGCAAAGAAGTAACTTTCAGACACAAAACTGGAAGAAAAAGTCCTCTCGAAACACCTACTTCCATATAAACATTGAATAACACCAAAGAAAAATACATCCGATGTTTCGCCGTAAGACACTTGCCTCATCGGTTATTCAAACAAAAAACACTCAATTCAATTCATTCATAAAATTACGACTTTATGTCAGGAATTACTTCAATCTACTCATGTCACGATGACAGTACGTAAATACATTTATACGCTTATTTGATTGAATCCCAGCCATAGGAATCTTATTTAAATTGAGAGAAGTATATTTTAAGGAGAGATTGATTATTGGTAAATGAAAGTTTTGGCTTTCTACTTCTTCACCTTCATACAAAAAAATGTGTGAATCTTCTAAAGAAAGAAAGGAAGCAAGCAATTTCAAGATGAAAAGATGTGTAGAACATGCAAAGAATTAACTTATTTGAGACATAAACTTTGAATTGAAATGAAAATGACATGAAAATTGAATTGAACGAAAGTTATTTCATTGCAAAATCTACAAATCTTTGTAGAGAAATAATTTTTTTGAAATAGATTGCTTCCTTTCTTTCTTTGGAAGATTTCCACTTTTTTGTGTAAAGACAGAGACATAGAAATGCAAAACTCTTCTTTCCCAAAAATTAATTTCTTCTATGAATATACTCCTTTTCAATTTATCTTGTATCTATATTATTATAAACTGTGCTATCGTATTCAGTTCGTACAGTCAAATAAGAGACAACCCGATTTTTTGCTGAAAATCTTGATGTTAGTCTCATCAGAGAGTTTTCTGACAAACGATATATACTTTTTATTCATTACACGATGTTATACAGTGCGGACGTAAATATGCCACCTCTTTACTTTCGAGCAAAATATCAGACTTGTACAACATTTTTGTAAAAAAGAATCGAGAGAAGTCAAATCCTCTGAACGAGCAGGCCATTTCATTCGACCTCGCCTACCAATCTATATGCCTAAATATGTTTGATTCAACCAATCTCTTATACGCCTAAAAGGATGTGGATGCGCACCGTCTTGTTGGAATATAATTGGATTCTAGAATTCATCTTGATTATAAGAAAATAGATATTTCGAAATAAAATCCCGTAACATTCATTTTTCCCAAAAGCTCCTACACCGTAGATTCTGGTAAATGCTTGCCGGAAAACAACTACTTCCCCGGCTAATACCACAATGTACATTGAATTATATCCGACATACATTCATGCAAGCTACCTCACAGAGGTTAGTCTTGCAGATGTGTCTCGTTCATCTTGCAGCAGGATCATGCTACAGACCGGTTTCGAGGTATTACCCTTCATCAGTGCAGTAAAGATCCGACCCGAATAGCAGTGTGATCGGGACTCGCGGCTCGACTGTATGTATGAATCGAATTGGAAAAAGAAATGCTTTTTTTGAATAATTCGGTTTGATTTTTGTTCTGGATACGATTCATTGCAACAAACAATTTGCTTCTCTCACACATAACAAACGTTGTGTAACCTGTGTTAACTAACTTTGGAGGTATGTGGTTGCTAACTAATGAAGAATCTTTTTTCCTAGTGTCCACTTCATACAACCGGTTATTCAAATTCAGACCAATATAGATCGTTGTAAAAATAATTCCTTCCAAGCGAAGGGTCACAAAATTCCCTTTTCTATATGAAAAATAAAGTTGATAGCGCCTTCGCTGCTGCGAGTGATGTTTCACAATTCGCTTTTTATCAAAAAAATTCTAAAATGATTTATTTTCATATAAAATTTTGTACGACTTGGATATCTTGCCCCGTTACCAAAGTGAAAGATGGGAAAGAGACTACTCAAAGGGCGCCAAATGACTGAATCTGACGTAACATGGATGGTTAGGGTC